TTAAGTGGCGCCCGGCTCCGGGAGGAGACGAGTCCCCAGCCCCGCCTTTTCCACCACAAGCCCCGCCCCTTCCCAGGAGGGAAGGGGTGGAGCCAGCCTGTGACCACATACTAAAATTCATTAAGTGGTGCCCGGGTGAAAATTATTGCCCACCCCTGTTCTAAACCCAGGCAGGGGCCCCCTCGGCCCTCACAACGCTCCACCAGTTCTGTGCAGAGCAGTGTGCAGGATTGGGGTTTTAAAAAACAAGCGAGCAGGCAGGCAGGAGGCGAACGGGAAAAGACGACCCTGGTTCTCGTTCCTGGAGCTAGCTGAGCTTCTGAAACGTCTGAGAGAAATAAAGGCCACCCAGCGTTCAGTTGGTGTGTAAAGTTGGTGTGTTGCTCCCTCCTCTCCCTCCAGCGAGCCCGGATTTTTCTCAGGGTATGTCTAGACTACAGATACTGTCGACAAAGAACATCTAGACTACATCCAGTTCTGTCGACAAAGCAAGCTGCTTTGTTGACATGATAGTATAGATGCAAAGGACAGTGTAGATTCAATAACGCCGACAGAACTCTTGTAGAATGAGGTTTACCACCGTTGACAAAACTGCCGAGTTCTGCCCATGTTATATCAACAGAACTCAGTGGTAGTGTAGACGCAGGTATAGTTTTGTCAACAAAAGTCCACTTTTGTCGACAAAACCCTGTAGTCTAGACACACCCTCACTGAGGGGGAACTGTCCGTAGGCGTCAGCCCAACTGAAACACCCTGGGTGCGTCTAGACTGGCAAGATTTTGCACAAAAGCAGCTGCTTTTGCGCAAAAACTTGCCAGCTGTCTACACTGGCCGCTTGAATTTGCGCAAGAACACTGACATTCTAATGTAAGAATTCAGTGCTTCTTGCGCAAATACTTTGATGCTCCTGCTCAGGGATAAGCCATCTTCTACAAGAATACTTGTGCAAGAGGGCCAGTGTAGACAGGCACCTTAATTTTTTGGCCATTTTCGGAAGAAGTTTTTTTGACCATTTTAGCCATCGGGCTTTCTTGCGCAAAAGCATCCATGCCAATCTAGATGCTCTTTTGCGGAAATACTTTTAACGGAAAAACTTTTCCGTTAAAAGTATTTCCACAAAATCATGCCAGTCTAGACGCAGCCCCTCAGTCCATGTTTACGCTGCAATTTAAACACTTGCTAGCTGCGGGTGTGGGGTCTGTGCTCTAAGCGTAGCCCTGCTTTCAGGAGGCCGGAGGTACCTTAAATATCAATACTCTGTTGAGTGGTATTTGCTTTCAGACCTGTGTACGAGGAGCTGAGAAGCCCTTGCCGTTTGGGGCTACCATGAATTCTAGAAGCCCCCAGTTACTATCAGCCTGAGCACCAGTTAGTATCAGCTGAAGTGACCCTGTACAGTGCGCAGGGCCTGACAGAAACAGAGAAAAAGGCTGTTTGTGTTCAAAGCAAAGGATGGGTTGTAGCATGGCTCACTAAACATAGACTTCTAGAACACTAGAACTGGAAGTGACTTGGAGAGGTCATTGAGTCCAGTCTCCTGCCCTCACGACAGGATCAAGCACCATCTAAGATCATCCGGGACAGGTGTCGGTCCAACCTGCTCTTAAATATCTCCAGTGATGGAGATTCCACAACCTCCCATGGCAATTCACTAAGGCTCCATCTCAACGACAGGCTTCTTTCGGAAGAAGATTTTTTTCGGAGGAGATCTTCCAAAAAAACTTCTTCCAAAAGAGAGCGTCCACAGTGCAAAAGTGCATCAAAAAAGTGATCTGCTTTTTCGAAAGAGAGCATCCAGACTGAATGGACGCTCTCTCGCATGTAAGCAGTGATTGCTCTGGATGGAATGGCCACCAAGGCACCTGTGATTTTTCCTCTTCTTCTGAAAGAACTCTCCCTTCCTGTCCACACAAGCAAAAAGGCTTCTTCCTCATAGAATGAGGATTACCAATGCTGGAAAAACTCCTCTGTTCTTTCGATTTTCTTGCGGAAGAATGCAATTGCAGTGTGGACGTTCCTCAAGTTTTGTCAGAAAAACATCTGTTTTTTCCGACAAAACTCTGTAGTGTAGACATACCCTAAGAGGTGAAATTTACCCTGTGCTGCCGGCCAGCAGTGGGGGTGAATTTCATCCTAGAAGAAATTAAAGGAGTGAAAAATGTCTTAAACCGAACAGGCAAGAAATACTCCAGCTATACAAAGATGGTTGAAATCTTCCTCTACCAGGCTCCTACTACACTCAAGTGAGAGAGGTCCTGGGCATTCAGACCGCCTTGCCAAAAAAGCCTGCAAGTAGCCAACAGGCTAGAGTGGGACAGAAAAGAAAAAGGCTTCACTCCTGCTGTTCTGAGGACTCTTTTCTGACTAGGAACCGAGAAACACCCGTAAAATGAGACGAGAAAGTGCTGCAGTAGGGAACTCACCCATCCAGGGCGGAATGGATCTTTTGTAGCACAAGCTCCATAACTCACCTCAGCAGAGAAACCAGGAGATTGGTACTCACAGCTGGACATTCCGATCCCCGGGTATAAATAAGGAACAATACTATTGCAGCCAGTCAGAACACACGGGTTTCATACCAGTGAGGCTGTCCTCAGAACAGGAGGAGTGAAGCCTTTTTCTTTTCTGTCCCACTCTAGCCTGTTGGCTACTTGCAGGCTTTTTTGGCAAGGCGGTCTGAATGCCCAGGACCTCTCTCACTTGAGTGTAGTAGGAGCCTGGTGGAGGAAGATTTCAACCATGTTTGTATAGATGGAGTGTTTCTTGCCCGTTCGGTTTAAGACATTTTTCACTCCTTTAACGCAACAGTTGGATATTTTTCCCCTTTTGATTCTAGCCTTTTAAAAACACCCTGCTGTTCACTTTTCAGGAAAGATAACTGCTGAGTAGATTTTTTTAAGCATTTAAGCTGTGAGCCCCAAAACATGCAAAGGCACCCGTTCAATACAGTGCAAGGACTCCCGCCACCTTCACCTGAAATTTGCAGCCCCTTTTGGCCAGGAACCAAGACCAACTGTCTTGGCTCCACAACCAAAAATGTCCTGAGGTCCTAGCCCAAGTGCATATGCTGTCCGCTGGGCTCTGAAGACCACTGACCTATGCTGCTGTTGGCCTTCCCCAGGGCAGCAAGCTCCAGTTTCCGATTTAAAAGTTCCCTCTGCTTTAAATGTGTGCAAGCAGGATTTTGATATGTTGTTCCCCAAGCAAATACTTAGTTGAACAAAAATAACATACCAAAGAATGTTGAAAATAAGCGTCGTATTGTTCTGCCTCTCCTTGCTTTTCGCCTAAGCAGTGTGTAGGAGGCATGTTAGTGGATCCTGCGAAAGTAGGGCACCGCGCCACCCTCTGTCCTTTGTTCGGAGCTGTGTTTGCACATTTCCTACGGAAGAACAGGGGTGTCGTGAGCAAGACACTAAAAGTCATTCTTCCGCTCTATTCTGCACTGATTAGGCCTCAGTTGGAGTATTGTGTCCAGTTCTGGGCACCGCATTTCAAGAAAGATGTGGAGAAATTGGAGAGGGTCCAGAGAAGAGCAACAAGAATGATTAAAGGTCTAGAGAACATGAGCTATGAGGGGAGACTGAAAAGAACTGGGCTTGTCTAGTTTGGAAAAGAGAAGTCTGAGAGGGGACACAATAGCAGTTTTCAAGTATCTAAAAGGATGTTATAAGGAGGGAGAAGAATTGTTGTCCTTGGCCTCTGATGATAGGACGAGAAGCAACGGGCTTAAATTGCAGAGGGAGGTTTAGGTTGGATATTAGGAAAAAAATTCCTAAATGTCAGGGTGGTGAAACACTGGAATAAATTGCCTCAGGGCCTTGTGGAATCTCCATCACTGGAGATATTTAAGAGCAGGTTGGATAGAATCTGTCAGGGATGAGTACTGGTTCCTGCTGTGAGGATTCTATGGAGTGCACCAAGACATCCCCAACGGGCTAGGATTCAGAGCCGGACTGGCTGACGGCCTCGCAAGGGGCCTCATGGGAAGTCAGCAGCAGAACCAGCTGGAACACATGCAGATTTTGTGCCCCCTAATACCAAACGTACTGCCCTTGCGTGCTGCCTTTTGCCAAGGCATCCCCTCAGGAGGCAGGGCAGCGGCCCGATGCAGGTTGTCGCGTGCCACAGTGAGGCTAAGCAAAGTTAGCATATCCAGAACCAACCTGCTGGGGGCTGCTTTGAGTCAGTCACCTCTGAGTCCAGGGTAATTAAGTTGTTGGTAGGCTCGGCCCAGGAATAGCCCCAGGAGGCAACTTCTCAGACATTATCCCACCACACGATTCCAGTCGCCGCCTTCCTCTCTTCCCTGGCTCGCTGGTATGTTGGCTCCGCCCCCTTTCCTGCCCACCTGCTCTGGTGGGCAGGAAATAACAAGTCCCTACGCTTGGGTCCCCAGACCTAAGATGCAGTTGCCTTGCAAGGTGGGAGGCCAGGTCTTACTCCCTTGTGTGAGGGTGTAGTCACAATCTCGTTCTAACTGTTTACGGTCCACCCTTGCTCCCTGTGAAATCCATGGGAGTTTTCCTATTGACGTCACAGACTGCAGAGTCAGGGAGAGGAGAATTTCTGAAATTCGATCAGTTGGGCCAGTGGTTTCCTTCTTCTCCTTAATCTCCTTTCCCTTTTTGGACTCTGAACTCTGTTTCTCATGCTGCCCCATGGAGTCGCCATTCTCTGCCTGGCAAATTTCCCGGGGACGAGTATTAAATTTGGGATGGGTACCAATGCTACTTAAACTATAGACAAAACCTTGGCTTGAGGGAAGTCAGACAAGAAGGGAGGTTGATCTTTGGTGATAATACTCAATAAACTGTAGCTGCTACCCATGCCCATGCATGTTAAATTAAGTCAAGACAAAATATGGATTGCTGCTGACCAGGAATGAAAATTCAGCCTTCGTCAACTGATATGAACATAACGCAGCATCACCCTTCCAAATTAATTTTAAAAGCAGAACATTGATTTACTAACGCTAAAATTCACTACGAGCCAACCCCTTGTGGTCACGACCCCCTTTTATTTCACAAACCAAATGCAAGTCATTCACTTAATCTTTGGAAGTGTGTATATATTGCAGGAGAGCTTTTCAGAACGTCTCCTTTGGGAGGGGGGGAGGGAAAGAAGGAAAGACGTTAATCCCCAGGAAAACTGGTCGTGGCAACTGTACAAAGTCAACGGGCCCACGTGAGAAAGATGGCCATGAAAACAGCAGTGACGGGAACACGTTTCCATGTGGCATTTCTTGATCCCAGGTTGTGAACCGCGGTCTCCTTTGTGCTTTGCTGGTTCAAAAGTTGGTTATTTGAGGGAACGTCGTCCATATCCAAATCATAAGCCAGCTCTGCAAAGAAGAAAGAGGAAGATTGTTACTGAGCATAGTGTACCAACACCTGGCCTGTCCACATGGATTATAAACTATTATGGGATGGACGACAAGTCCTGACTGGGATCAAGACTCCAATGGGTGTACAAATACCTGGTGAAGGAAAACATATTAACTCTGGTTTTCGGATGGGGCAGAAGTGCAAATCAATTAAGTGACTTGCCCACGGTTGTGCAGGAATTAAAAACACACTTGCTGAGCCCTGCTCTGGTTTGCTAGCCACAAAACCACCCTTTCCCTTTGGAAGTTAATGATACCTGAGGCTGCTCACAAGCCACCTCCACACAAAAGTCCAGCACGAATTCATGCCCTGCTCAAGTCTCAAGATGAGGCTTATGGGGGAATTAAGGTTATGTCTACACTACAGAGTTTTGTTAAAAAAAACGGCCATTTTTTCTGACAAAACTTGAGTTATGTCCACAGTGCAATCATGTTCTTCCGCAAGAAAATTGAAAGAACAGAGGGGTTTTTTTCCAGCATCAGTAATCCACATTCTACAAGGAAGAATCTTCTTTCTGAAAGAGCTCTTTTGTAAAAAGGCGTGTGTGGATGGGGAAGAGGGAGTTCTTTCAGGAGAAGAGGAAAGAGGAAAAAGCACAGGTGCCCTGGTGGCCATTCCGTCCATAGCAATCACTGCTTACATGCGAGAGAATGTCCATTCAGTGTGAACGCTCTCTTTCAAAAAAGCAGGTGGCTTTTTCGGTGCACTTTTGCAGTATAGACACTCTCTTTCAGAAGCAGTTTTTTTAGAGGATCTCTTCCAAAAAAAGCTTCTTCCAAACAAAGCCTGCAGTCTAGATGTAGCCTAAGAGACCGGTAGGACCTGAACTAGTTCTCAGCACAAGGGCGGATGTCCGCCGTGGGAAGCCTGCAGAACAGATGTTAACCTCAGACTAGGCCCAGTCTACCAGAGATTTGGCAGCATATTTGGCTGTAACATTTGCAGAAGAAGCCAGGCACTCAACGGGTGGGGTCCACAAAACCACTCAGCACTGGCTTCATTTTGTTCCCATTGAATTTTTTTAGTGAGAAGGGGAGAGGGGGTTCCTACAACGCCAATGGGAGAAGAGCTGAGCACGACCCCGTGTGACCTTCTCCCGCACGAGTGCCTTCATTTCCTTTGCTCTTCCCTCCATGGGGCGTTAGAAGTCTTGACCCCCCAATGCCTACCCAGCACTTTCCGAACGGCCGTGCCAAGAATGGGAGTCGGGGCGAGGGTGCGGGTGTGCCTGGAGAGCTGTTTCCAAAGACAGCCAGCTGGGCGTTGTTTAAAAATAAATTGTGTCTGGCTTGCAGAAGGGGTGAAGAAACCCCAGCCACGCTCGTTCAAAGCTCAAGGCCGGTATACGGCCGATGCACCACTCCCGCCCCCTTTCTCCGTTAGCTTTAAAATCTGACCCCAGTCGTGCACCTGTTCTGGTGTCTGCACAAGAGGGGCGTGTCGACGGCCAGACGCAAAGTGTGGGAAGACAGGAACCGCCAGACTAACCGCCTCCCTCTCCAAGGATGGGCAGAGTCCTTTGGTCTTTGAATCTCCGAGAGTGCCTGGCAGCTGAGTGCTCCTGGCACCGGAACAGCCCGCTGCAGGGTTAGTGCCTCTCCCCTGCCAGTGGTGGCAAAACCCCATTGCCATAAGAACATAAGAACGGCCACACTGAGTCAGACCAAAGGTCCATCTAGCCCAGTGTCCTGTCTGCCCACAGTGGCCAGCACCAAGTGCCCCAGAGAGGGTGGACTGAAAACAATGATCAAGCAATTTGTCTCCTGCCATCTCTCTCCAGCCTCTGACAAACAGAGGCCAAGGGCACCATTCCTTACCCTCTGGCTAAAAGCCTTTATAGACCTAACCTCCATGAATTTATCTAGCTCTTTTTCAAACTCTGTTCTAGTCCTAGCCTTCACAGCCTCCTCTGGCAAGGAGTTCCACAGGTTGACTGTGTGCTGAGTGAAGAAGAACTTTCTTTTATTAGTTTTAAACCTGGTACCCATTAATTTCATTTGGCGTCCTCTAGTTCTTATATTATGGGAACAAGTACATAACTTTTCTTTATTCACCCTCTCCACATCACTCATGTTTTTATGGACCTCTGTTATATCCCCCCTCAGTCTTCTCTTTTCTAAACTGAAATGTCCCAGTCTCTTTAGCCTCTCCTCATATGTGACCCGTTCCAAACCCCTCAGCAATTTAGTTGCTCTTTTCTAAACCCTTTCCAAGGCCAAAATATCTTTTCTGAGGTGAGGAGACCACATCTGTACACAGTATTCAAGATGTGGGCGCATTATAGTTTTATATAGGGACAGTAAGATATTCTTCGTCTTATTTTCTATCCCTTTTTAAATAATTCCTAGCATACTCTTTGCTTTTTTGACTGCCTCTGCCTACTGTGGGGCTGTTTTCCGGAAACTATCCATGGTAACTCCAAGATCTCTTTTTTGATTAGTTGTAGCTAAATTAGCCCCCATCATATTGTATGTATAGTTGGGATTATTTTTCCCAATGTGCATTACTTTACACTTATCCACGTTAAATTTCATTTGCCATTTTGTTGCCCAATCACTCAGTCTGGTGAGATCTTTTTGAAGTTCTTCATGGTCTTGACTATCTTGAACCACTTAGTATCATCCGCAAACTTTGCCACCTCACTTTCTCCAGATCGTTTATGAATAAGTTGAGTAGGATTGATCCAAGGACTGACCCTTGGGGAACACCATTAGTTACACCTCTCCAATCTGAAAATGTATCATTTATTCCTACCCTGTCAGTAGGACTGCCCTGTCAGTCCTCGATGCTGGACTTGCAGCCACACGACAGAGGGAAAGCGCAGCAGCGAAGTCAGGCAGAACAAGGTGAAGGGGGAACATGCTGCAATCCTTGGCTAGAGAAGCAAAAGCAAAAGGAGCATCGAGCCAGCCTCGACAAAAGCCTCTTATTCCTAGAGCTGCGCTGCAGCAGTGGCAAATCGGGCCCTCGGCCTGAAGGAGACATGAAGTCTTCTCTGCTGGGTCGATGGGAGGAAGCGCAAAGGTTCCTTGTTGAGTTTTATTTTTCTGCTTGGCATTTTTGTTGATGCCTTTTCCCTCCATCTTCGCACTTGGGGCCAACTCTCTGGGAGCCAATTTCCCCCTCTTCGGGGCAGGCTCATTTGACTGCTCCAAGGGTAGGAGGAGGGGCCTGCAAGAGACCTTAAATACCTTGCCTCTACCGGCTCTGCTGACAAAAACTCCCCCGAGTCACAGATTCACTGACTTGTGGGGGGTAGCTGCCACCATCAAGTGATTTTATCCCTAAAGACAAGGGATGAATACTTGAATTCTCCCCCAGGGTACCCCAAGCTCCTTTACCATAAGGGAGCCTGAAAAACAAGAGAAGAAAAAACCAAACTGCAGTCTCTGGTAGCTGACGGTTAGTCTGAGGCATGCAGAGAGACACAGACAGACCAGCTGTTACCTTCCAGGACACAAGAATCAATTCATCACCTTACAAAAGTGATTTTTATTACAACACAGAAGATCTACTTGATAAAACATACTTGATTGCTCGGGGTTACAGAGCAACTAAGGAAAACACATTAAAATGCAGAGAAAATCTCTGGGAACAATTCTTAGATGGTAAATGGGGGAAGGGAAGCATAGATTCACACAGAGCAGCTCAAACCAAGTCACAAAATAAAGAAAATACTCTGATCGCAATGAGATTCACTTTTTTCCCTTTATTTACTTGCAATCCCTTGCTGGTTCAGTCCACTTCCACGCCCCGGATTCCTTGGAGGCATGGCAGTCCTGCCTGGGTTTTAAATCATTCTGTGTCTCTGAACTCCTAGTTTAACTCTCCCACACAAAGAAAGCAGGCCAGGTACCTTATACAATTCAGATTTCAGCACTTTATTCCTATTGGTTCTCCTGGCTTCTTGCTAACACTCTTGCTAGCAACCTGAGTTTAACCGCGTAGTCACCCGGGTGCTGGCTAGCACTCCTCCTATCCATCACACACCGTCACCACACACCGCAGCATATAGACCAGTGGTTCCCAAACTTTTTGGCATCACGCCCCCCTCCAATAGCAGCAAAACTTGTTGAGCAAAAAAGAGAAGGAAAAAAGGAACTGAATAGGGCAGCAAAACTTGATGGGGGGGAGAGGGGGAGACTGGGTCACCTCGCACCCACCCTGGAATTTCTTCAGGCCCTTCCAGGGGGGCATGTCCCCCAGTTTGGGAACTGATGATATAGACATTCACACAGAAAGGAAGTCAGTCATCAGAGGATAAAAAATTATGACAGGGCTCACACGCACACATGCAGACACAAGCAAACACCAAGTGTCAGTCTCTCCAACTCATCCAAGAGATCCCCACCGATTGCCCCCAAGTTGTCGTCTTCTCCCTCAGTCCTCTCTTCTCTACACTCTCTTCCTCCGGAGAGCTGATTGCAGACTCATCGTGTGTGGTGCCAAGTGGCGTGGCCATCCTGACTCCGATATGCTGGTCAAACCCGTCTGTGACCCGCAAACATGACCCATGACCCGTCCGCCATGCTGCTTTAAGGATTCATCCTCATGAGAGGCAGAGGAATAGATGACACCATTCCCGTTGGGGGAGGTCTAGGCTGGATCTTAGGAAATACTACTTCCCTAGGAGGGCGGGGTAGCACTGGGCTGGGTTCCCTAGGGAGAGGGTGGAATCTCCATCCTGAGAGGTTTTGAAATCTTGGCTTGACCAAGCCCTGTCTGGGCTGATTGAGTTGGGGTGGGTCCTGCTTTGGGCAGGGGGCTGGACTCGATGACTCCTGAGGCCTCTTCCAGTCCTAGGATTCTATGATTCACCTTGAGTAGTTCAGTGTATCCCAGCTCAGCGGTGACCAAAAACTGGTCCTGTAGGATGATTCGCTGGTGACTGTGTTGAACTGGGACTGTCACCTTAGTTCGTCAGGGAGAGGCGTCCGCAGGATACAATCCAGAACAA